CTGCTCCATCATCATGTCATTGTAATATTGGATATATATTATATATATATATATATATAGCATTATACATCCATATATATATATATATGTGTGTGTGTGTGTATAAACGAACTCTCAACACGCAATCCAACCAAACCAAGGTACAGGTAATCTCTAGCTTTCCCTTATGCCATGCCCTTGTGACCATCTTATCACTGTCAGCTCTAACTACAAAAATATCACACCCAATTAATATGACTTTTTTAACCTACTAAAACTTCTCTTGCTGTTCGTGGCCTCACACGATCCAGTCACTTGTACTGTCATTGGAGAGCTTAATCCTAAGAGCTATTTTGGCTTTCGGATCAAAAACTACTTCTGAAAGTTTTTGAATGATGTGTCACAAATACTTCGACTTTTCAAAAAACGTCCTGTTATAATAACAAATTAAGGCTTTTAAAAAAACATTTTTAAAAAGACTTTAAAACTTACACTTCAACACTTATTTCTAAAAAAAACTTTGAAACTTACACTTCAACACTTTTATTGTTTATTAAACTCTTTTAAAAGAAAAATGTTTACGGCACCACTGGTACTAGAGTATTTCTACGAAAATTCTTCATTTTTTAGCTAAATTCTAATTAAAATGTTTAAAAAGTTATTTTATCTAATAAATTTATGGTGATTCACTCCAACTATACTATTTATTCTGATGAAACGTAGATTATTTTAATAATTATTGAATTTAAACATAAATAAATTTATTTAATTTTAAAAATAACTTTGACATTTATTGGGCACGGGACAATAAAATAATACAATAAATCAAATACCTAATAACTTTTTGTTAGCTATATTTAGTTAGTGTGAAATGGATTTTCTAAAATAATTAACCATTTAGCTAATTGTTGGAGCAGAGAAAAGCTAAATTTTAGCTAAAAACATAAAATAGCTAGCATGGTTGGAGTTGCTCTAAGCACCATCATTGATATAAGGTGGATCTCGTATGCGGGTCTCACACTGCTAGATCTAGGGTGGTGTTGAGCACCACCAACACCTTATAACATTGCTCCTTTTAAAATGGGGTTCCAAACACTAAGGAGACGTTTGGTTTATGGATTAGAATTATAAGATTAGAACCATTTTTGATTTACATGTATTTTTTGTGAGAAAAAATACTGTAACGAACCATGAACCATGATTCGAATCGGGGTACGAATCTCCCAACCAAACAACCCCTAAGGGTTCGTTTGGTATGAGGGTTCAAACTAGAGTGATTCTAGTTTTAATTTTAGAATCATAACTATAATTCATGATTTTGAGTCCAAATCATGGTTTCGAAACCAGAACTAGAATCAGGGATTTGAGCCACCCAAAACCAAGGAAGGGTGGTTTTAGAATAAAGGGTGATTCATAGTTTAAAACATCACATCAGAGTTCAAATCTTAAATTAGTATCATCCTAACCAAACACTGATTCTGTGTAAGTCAAATCAGAACCACTTTTATTTTTTGTAAACAAACACTGGTTTAGAACCAGAATCATGGTTCAGGGTTCATAACTCTTATACCAAATAATACCTAAATGAAAAGTCACAACTTTTTTTTCTCTTCTTAGAAGTAAAAATAAAAAACTCTATCAAATGGGAGCTAGATAAAAATATACTATATCATCTTAATTACGAGCAACTGAAATATATTAGCATTAAGTACGTACCCATGAATCATTTTGGAGGTGGATGCTAGCAAGGACCATTTCCAACATTTAAGAATTAACCCACGTTGACCAAATCAATTACTTAATCAAGTTTCAGATAGCTCGGATCACAAATTAATTAAAGTGCACCTGCTCTACTTTAACAATAATAATATAAGAATGGATATTAATATTGATTTAAAAGACAGAATTAGCATATAGGAGGTAATTAATTAAGATGATGAGGATTAGTGGTCCTTAATTAGATAAATTAAAAAAAAAAGGATGGCCGAGGGACAGACAGAAGAAATCTCAGCTTCCTTTAATTTCGATATATATATATA